ATCATACTCGGCGACTTCAACGCCGAGCAATGTCTGTAGCTTCTTATGACAGCATGCAGCTGGGTGGCCTCATCTCGTCTTCTGGTCTTTACTTGGTCCCGCATGGAACCACTCATCATCTGAGAAACTCGGGTACATGGCTTGATTTATGTATTATTGATGATCGCTCAAAGCTGATTGAATTCGGTCAACAAGCAGTTGAATTCTTGTCGGCGCATGATTTAATCTCCATTAAATATAAAATCAAGATACAACGACACTATAATAGACAGATAATTTGCAGGGACTTCAGATATTTTAACACGTTCCCTGCCGCGTGGGGCGTATACGCCCCACGCTGAACTTTCCGTTCAAGCCATTTGGTATTATCATTGTAAACTAAAGAATTTTTTAAAAATTCATTATGGAGTCAATTATGGACATCTTAATACTATTGCTGATGCCCTCATTTAATCGTGGGGCGTATACGCCCCACGCGGCGTGATGGGCAATTTTTCTTTACTGTGACTTGTTTTAACCGCATTTCTCTTATTCCGATCACTCATTTATTCGCGTGTCGTTGATACAATACTTACTGCATCACTAAAGCTAGGATTGATTTATAGTTCAGTGTGTTTTTTCAGTGTGTTAAACGAAGGAAATACGGTACGTACATATTATTTCAGTTTATAAATTCGGATATCTTGCATTTAAAAATGTTTGCAATTTTTCCCGCCTTCTCTTCCTCAGACCTTTTCCAAATTTTACAATAATTACTCCTTATAAGCAGATATGGCATCACACAGCAACAGTTTTTCTAGTGATGATTCTGACGTGCCACTCGCAGAAATTCTAACAAAACGCCGTAGGATTGCACGAGGAATTCTTTCTGAAGATTCTTCAGACAGTTCAGAGGAAATCATAACTTTTCATCGCCTTTCCACACGCGGCACTCGCATTTTATCCAGTAGTGAAGACGAAGATGCTGAACCTTTAATAAACAATATAACTACTTCGCATATAGATTGGGCTAATCCCATCGGAAACCAACCGCGCCTTACGCCTTTTGTTGGTACACCGGGTTTCAAAATATTTAACCAAACTTACGAAAAACCGGAAGATATTTAACTAAAANGTTATATTTTAAATTGATATAGGCATGATAAAAAAAATTATATGTAAGGATGCCACTCGCTTGGCATAATAATGTTCAGCCAGTTATTTGTTAAACTAATTCCTAGAAAAATAAATTTATTGGTTTGTTGTGTTATGCATGTTAAACTATACAACCTTTCCTTGATAATTATGATTTTTGCACTATTTTAATTATTGCAAGGCATACGCCAGAAACAAAATAATACAAATGTAAAGCGTGGGGCGCATACGCCCCACGCGGCTTGAACGGGAAGTCTTCAAAAAACGGTCTGGCAGGGAACGTGTTAATGAATCAGAATTTCTTTCTGATCTATCTCACTGATTGGTCATCGCTATTCAATGCTGGATGCATTGACCAGAAAGTGGACGTGCTGAACTTGGTACTGCTGGAAACTTTTGACAAGCATACACCGTTGGTGAAAATTAATGTAAAGAAACTACCTGCCCCATGGATTACTGCAGAACTCAAGATGGTCATGAGAGAAAGAGACAGGGCTAGACGGCTATGGCGCAGGAGGAGAGACGATGCCAGCTACCGTAATTTCAAGAGGCTACGCAACAATGTGCAATGTAGAGTTCGCGCTACAACGAGTGCTCACTCTTAAGAAGTTTATGATAGATCTGGCAACTCGGTTGAGACTTGGAGGCGCCTGAGGCATCTTGGTTTGGTAAAAGCAAGGGAGGTCGATGTGCCTCTTCATTCAGTTGACGATCTTAACAACTTCTTCGTGCAATCAGTGGGTGATTTACATGTACCGAACAATACACAGAGAAGTGACCTGAACTCAGCTGACTTTGATGATACTGTTGCGAGATACGGCGCGTGTCGTCCACGCGGTATATAAAGATTTTTTAACGATTGATTGTTTGGGCGCTTTTGTTCAGGTAGCAACGTGGTTTGTTGACAGCGAAATTCAAGAGAGTGAATCGCCGGATTCGAAATCGTTGAGAAACTGCATCATCGGCTCGAGATTTCTTCACGTTTCCGCGGCCTTTTGTAACGCGTTCTCTAAAAAAACTCTAGTGTGTTATACGCGGCGTTTTTTTTCTTTCCGCGGAGCGCAGTAACTCAGCGGTGACGCGATTAAACGCTGTCGTGAGCGCAACATTTGGGGACTCATCCGGGATTGAGCTTGTGAAAGCGGCAGCATGGCTCTAGTACACTCGCCGCGGAGAACGCGTACTCAGCTTGCGGCTGGAGCGGTGGAGGCATCAGCGGCGGCGGCGACGGCGGCAACGTCCGAGAACGAAACGCTGCGCGCGGTCCTGTAGGAGTTAGAGCAGCTGCGGGAGGAGCATCGGCAGAGAAAAGATTTGCTCCGCCAGAAACAGGAAGAATTTAGTGATTTCATGCGCCGGAAAGAGGAGGACGTTCGTCGCCAGGAGAAGCGGCTTCGCCGCGATGTATCAGGCGAGTCATTTTCAAATCGTTCTTCTGTATGGAGGAATTATCGGGAACAAAAAAAGTAAGCCGGATGTGTTCGACGGGAGTGTTCCGTGGCGCGAGTTTTTCGCGCAGTTTGAGTTGGTCGCGCGTGCGAACGAGTAAAGTGATGCGGCGAAAGCAACGGTTTTGGTCACTGATTTGAGGGAAAAAGCGCGTTCGGTTTTAGAGGGGTTAGAGGAGAGGTTCAGCTACGATGAGATTCGCTCAAAATTGGAATCGCGGTACGGGGAGCAAGAGCTTTTTCAAAGGTGCTATGCGCAATTCACTAACCGTAAACAGCAGGGTGGCAAAGATTTTACGGCGCTCGGCGCGGATCTGGAGCGTTTGGCACGTCTCGCGTACCCGGAGAGTTTGCACAAAATTCGCAAGAAAATCGCTTGCGCGCAATTCATTGCCGCTCTCTCGGATGGCTTCGTGAAGCGTACGTTGCAATTAGAAAATGTGATGTCGTTGAGGACTGCTGTTGAACGGACAGTGAAGGCTATTCAAGAGAATAGTTTTGGGGCGAGCAGGGAAGCGCCGTATAATTTTAAGAAAAACGGCGACCGGAAGACGGGGAATGGAACAAAGAAAGAGCGGGAGCAAAGGAGAGATGGTAAGCGAAAAGAAAGGGAGTGTTGGAAGTGTGGAAAGAAGGGGCACTTCCGCTACGAGTGTCCGGCTAATTTATCGGAAAACAAGGCTTAATCGAACTTCCAGGGATGGGTTCGGCTATGTGGTGGGACACTCCGGAAAGGGTATTTTCTGTTAAACGAGTTGATAATAAGAACAATAATTTATTTGTTTTTTCCGGTCTTTTGAACGGTAAATTGTTATTTTAAATTTCATACAAGCTCCGATGTGTCGATTGTGACTTTTGATTTTGTAGAGAGGTCGCAATGTCAGAAGTTGACAGAGAAGCCAAGTTTGAGATATCCTACCGTGGAGAAAGTTTTTGTTGAATTCAGATGTGTGGCTCAAATAGTCGTAGGGGGACGTTCTTTGAAAATGCCTCTATATGTAGCGGATATATTCGACGACTGTATTCTAGGTCTAGACTTTTTCAGAAAGACAGGGTTAGATAGGATGATAAAGACTCTCATTGTTGCTCTATCGTGTGGAACGGAGAAGATTTGCGGTCGGAGGTGTGATGTTGCCGTGGGAGTTCCGGATAGTTTAAAAGAATTTTATGAACGAAACGCAGTCGATTTGGATGAGGCGCAGAGGGGCAATTTGCTACGTTCTTGATCAAACTTCAAAATGTCTTCTCTGATCAGATCGTGGCTGGAAACTGTGATGTTTTTCAGCATTAAATTAATCTGCAAGATTCTCGTCCAATCAAACAAGCTTCCAAGGAAGGCTCCGGTAAGAATGCGAGCTGAGGTGGAAAAAATTCTTCAGGAAATGAAGAACCAAGGGGTCATTGAAGAATCTTTTAGCCCGTAGGTTTCCCCGGCGGTGATTGTAAAAAAGAACGACGGGAGTTAAAAATTTTGTGTGGATTATCGCAAGCTTAATGCGATCACGATTAAAGATTCTTATCCTCTTCCTAGGGTTGACGATTTTCTGGATCAATTGTCCAAAAATGAGTGATTCTCTACTTTGGATATGAAAAGTGGGTATTAACAGTTAAAAATCCGACCAGAAAATAGAGAAAAGACTGCTTTTTCAGTAGGCAATAGGTTGTGGCAGTTCACGGTGATGCCTTTTGGTTTGTGCAACGCTCCGGCCACTTTTGAGCGTTCCATAGAGCGTATTCTTCAGCAGTTGCTAACTAAGATGTGTTTGGTTTATTTGGATGACGTAGTTGTTTTTGGTAAGTCCTTCGAAGAGGAAGTAGCTAATTTGAAGAAAGTTTTTCTGAGGCTTAGAGCGGCCAATTTAAAGCTCAATCCTAAGAAATGCAATTTGTTTAGGAAACAGGTGAAATATCTTGGCCATGTGGTTTCAGCTGAAGGGATCTCAAAGGATCCGGAGAAAATTGCAGCTGTGAGGGAGTGGCCTGTTCCACAGAATAAAAAGCAGGTTCGCAGTTTTCTGGGATTTGGTTCTTATTATCGCAAATTTGTTAAAGGTTTTTCTTTGATAGCGAAGCCCCCATTTTCTTTGACTGAAAACCAGGTGAAGTTTGTCTGAACTGAGCAATGTCAGGAAGTGTTTGCAAATCTTAAGCAAACGTTGTCTTCTCCTCCTGTGCTCTCTTTTCTTCTTGAAGAAGGAGAGTTAATTCTGGACACTGATGCTTCTGGCCATGGTGTTGGCGCAATTTTATCGCAGGTTCAGCGAGGGACGGAGAAGGTCATCGCTTATTATAGTCGGGTATTGAATAAGGCTGAGAGGAATTATTGTGTTACTCGGCGCGAATTATTGGCTATGGTTGATTTGATAAGATCTTTCCATCATTATCTGTATGGGCAGAAGTTTTGAGTTCGCACTGATCATGCTTCACTTAAATGGCTTGTCTTTTAGAAATTTGGAGAGTCAATTAACTCGTTGGGCGGAAAAGCTTCAGCAGTATGATTTCGAAATAGCTCATCGGTGCGGTCGAGCGCATGAAAACGCGGATGGGCTTTCTAGGCAATCTTGTGCGGAATCTTGCTGCAGGTATTGTTCGAAGCTAGAGGTGAGAGATGCTTTAAAGCAAGAGGAGCAAGTAGATCAAATAGTTTTTGAAGAGGGCACATCCAAGGAGTGGCGAAAAGATCAGCTGGAAGATCAGGTCGTAACAATTATTTTACTTGGAAAGGAAAAGGATTGTCGTCCTTCTTGGGAAGAAGTTTCTGCTAGAGGCACTTCTTCGAGGATTTATTAGTCTCTTTGGAACGCTTTAGTTGTTTCAGATGGAGTTCTGCATAAAAGGTGGATAGCTCCAAATTTGAAGTCAAGTTTTTTTCAAGTAATTGTTCCTGAGAAGAAAGTTAAGCAAATTTTGGAGGAGGCTCATGATGCTCCTTCTGGGAATCATTTTGGAGTTAATAAGACGTTAGGAAAAATTCGCAAGCGGTTGTATTGGGCTTCATGTAAAAGAGATATGAAAAACTGGCGTAAATCTTGCAGTTTGTATTGAAAAAAAAGGTCCTCCAGACAAGAGTAAGTCTTTGTTGCAGGTTTTTAATGCCGGCGCGCCTTGTGAAAGGTTACAAATGGACATTTTGGGTTCTTTTCCGTCGTCTTTTTCGGGAAATAAATACATCCTTAAAATTGTGGATTGGTTTTCTAAGTGGATAGAAGCTTTTCCTTTAAAGAATATTAGAGCGTCGACTGTGGCCGAGGTTTTTGTCAATCAGGTAGTTTCTAGATGTGGGGTGCCATTGTAGTTACATACAGATCAAGGTAAGAATTTTGAATCTCGACTTTTTTAAGAATTGTCGTGGTTGTTAGGAATGAAGAAAACAAGAACTACCGCTTTTCATCCGCAGTCTAATAAGCAAGTTGAAAGACAACATCAAACGATAATGCAGTATTTGTCTAAGTTTGTTGATGAGAATTAGAAGAATTGGGATCGTTGGATTCCTATGTTTTTTTTTTGCTTATAGATCTTCTAAGCATGAGGCTACAGAGGCTTCACCTGCCGAATTGAATTTTGGGCGCGATTTGCGTCTGCCGTTAAATTTGTTACGGGGCTCTCCGCCAAATTACTGTTCAAGTTCTTTGGAAGATTATATTTGTGAGTTAGAGTCGAAATTAGAGGAGATCCATCAGGATGTTAGAGAGCGTTTAGAAATGAAATCGAACAAGGCAAAAATGCGATACGATTTGAAAGCTAGGTATGTTCTTTTTGATGTTGAGCAAAAGGTTTAGTTCTTTAATCCTCGCAGAAGCAAGGGAAAAGCTCCTAAATTGCAGAGAACTTGGGAGGGGCCTTACGTGGTCGTTAAGAAATTGAGTGATGTGGTATATTGTATTTGTCGCTCAGATAAACATAGAAGTAAAGTGATACGAGCTGATAGGTTGGCTTCGGTTTGCGAAAGGAGGGAGCACGCGTCGGAGTCCCGTGTAGACTACTGGGGGGTGTATTTTTGGTTTTGTATTTTGGGTATTTGTGTTTTTTGTTAAGCGTAGTTACTCGTTTAGGTTTCTTTCTTTCAGTTATAACTCCGTCGCTACCTTGAATTTTTTTGTTTCGTCGTTGGACGTCGGAGAACATCTGCGTCTCGTCGAGCCGTTGCGAGATTTTCATTTTTGAGGCCGTATTAGAAGTCCGCCTTGCTCACGGTGTTGAACGTAGTTTTCCGTAGGTCTTTGGGTAAATGCCGAGGCGGGGACTTGGTATGTCCTTGTCAACGATGGATCCACGTGAGTTCCCCCCCTTGTTTCAAGTCGGAAGGATTTTGTGGACACAGAAGCTACCCCAGAAAAGATTCCCAAAAAGAGTTTCCGGTCAACCGGCTCATTTATTCTGAGACAGCAGTCTGGAAGAGAGCGGGAAGGTTGGCTTCTTTTTGATCATCGGGACGATGATCTAGAAGAGATAGAGGGCAGTGTTGCAAAATGCAGCGCGTGTCGTCCACGCGGCATATGAAGATTTTCAACGATCGATCGCTTAAACGCTTTTGTTCAGGTAGCAACGGGGTTTGTTGACAGCGAGGTTCAAGAAAGTGAGTTGCTGGATTCGGAATCGTCGAGAGGCCGGATCATCGGCTCAAAAATTTCTTCACGTTTTCCGCGGCCTTGTGTAACGCGTTCTCTAGTACAACTCTAGTGTGTTATACGCGGTGTTCTCTTTTCTTTCCGCGGAGCACAGTAACTCAGCGGTGACGCGATTAAACGCTGTTGGGAGCGCAACAATACCAACTTCTATTGAAGCTTTGTTACTCCATCAGCAATTACCCCAATAGGCACATTTGTGAAATTATTGCACAAAAATAGCATCATGAATGGCGACAATTTTGCAATGATTACATTAAGATGATTTGCCATAACGCAACAGTATTGTCGAAATAAAATTTTGTAAATAATATTTGTTAAAAATTGCAAAAAAGTCATTATGCATTTTCACAGTATATACCTCCAATAGGCAAATTGTGAAAATATTGCACAAATATGACGTCATGAGTGACGACGATTTCTTGCATTTCTTCATATGCAATCATATTTCTACATATTTGAAACATCACATAGCTGAATTTCTTTTTTCAATTATTGGACAATTTTTTTGTGAAAGTAATTGTGCAAATATACTGCTAAGATGATTCTCCATATCGTTATTCTTTTGCCGAAATAGTATTTGGAAAGTAATTTTGCAAACAACTACAACTATTTCAGAAAAGATCAAGTTTTACATCTATTTTCTAAAATATGTCTGTATAATTGCAAATTACAATTTTAGTGCAAGATTTTGTCACATACTTTTGTAAATAATTTCCTATCAGGGTAGAAGTGTCCTGTGGAAAGCTGGGTCTGGTGCCACAGGCTCTAATAACATAGCACCCAGAATAATTAGTCTCGCATTACCGAGCATAATGCCCTTAATAGAGCACGTCTTTAATTACTCTTTAATGAATGTTACATTCCCTGGTCAATGGAAGTCTGCAGTGGTATGTCCAATTCCTAAGATAAAGAATCCTTCTTCTGTACAACATTACAGACCGATATCTATTTTGCCTGCTCTTTCGAAGGCATTGGAGCGTGTGGTCTGTAAACAGATTTGTGACTATCTCCAGCAAGCCACCCTCCTGGATATAAACCAATCGGCTTACAGAAAGAATTGCTTGACTCAAACTTGCCTACTAAGAACGCTTGATGACATAAGATGCAATGTGGATTGCAGAATGGTTACAATTTCCATCTTCTTTGACTTTTCTAAAGCCTTCGACAGAGTCCACCACGGCATACTTCTAGACAAAGAAGAACATGCATTTCTCTTGCTCTGTACTAAAATGGATTGAGTCATTCTTAATTGGTCGATCTCAAGCGGTTTATAATGGTTTTAGCGGTGCTGTCTCAGCTTTTGTATCCTTAAACGTTGGCGTGCCTCAAGGATCAGTACTTGGCCCTCTATTATTTAGTCTATGGACTTTAAAGACTCACTTTGCCACAGCAAGTACAACTTCTACGCAGATGACTTGCATGTCTATCTGCACTGTGCACCGCACGATCTACCTGAAGTTGTACACAAACTGAACGCGAATATAGCTTCTATTGTAATTTGGGCCATTGGTAACAAACTATTATTAAATACTCATAAAACTCAGGCGATGATCATGGGCTCTTCTCGGCATCTGAATGCAATTGATCACAAACTCCTGCCGGATATTATTGTGGACGGTGCAGTGATTCGACTTTCAACCAAAGTAAAATACCTGGGCGTCATAATAACTAACAACCTTGCGTGGGACGCACAAGTCTCAAATATAACAAAGAAGATCCGGACAGTCTTGTATCAGCTTAAGCTGTGTGGACACTTACTTCCGCAAGCGCTGAAGTCTCGGCTGATCACTGCACTTATATTTCCGCATATCGACTATTGTTGTGCTGCCCTAACAAATATCACAGCTGTATTGGATCTCAAATTATACAGAGAGATTAATGCATGTCTTAGATTTGTATACAAAATCAAATGGGACCAGCACATCACACCGTCCTACAGAAAGAGCTGCTGGCTCAAAGTCACGGCCAGGAGGCAGTATTTTGTTGGCTGTTTACTTTACAACATAATTTCTACCCACCAGTCTCATACGTTGTATTCCAATTTTGTTTTTCGCTCTATTAAGAACAGAAGAGCTACTAGAGCAGCCGCAGATCTATTGATTCCACCGCAATGTCGTACAGAACAGAAGAAATATTTACACGGTCTTTTCGGTGGATAAGAGTAAGATTTTGGAATGAACTTCCGCTGACGATTCACAACTCACGATCGGCAGCGGAGTTCAGGCGCAGGCTGTTTGATTTTTTACTCTCACAAGTCTAATCATATCTCCAACTGTTGTAGTATTTCTCAGTTTTCCCTGGAGTGCTGTCTCAATGACAGTCATAAACATACAATATTTAGTTGTTGAATGTTATTAGTATCATTAATTACATACAAAGATGTTTTTTCGGGTTTGAACCGCGTTAGTGTCATTTTTATACCGACGTTTCGTGAACATTACAGCTCACTTCATTAGGGTTTGAAGAGCAGCCTGATACTGAGATGCTCTTGGTCAGGTATCCCTTTTTATAGCGCTAGATTAGAGTGGAAGAGGTGTGGTGGAGGAGGGGTGGAATGGTAAGAAGGAGGGGAGGATGTGTTTATGGCAAGATGGAATGCCATAGTGAACTACTCATATGTCCATTGTCTCTATTGAGATTGTTTGGATGTTTGTATATCTCCAGAGATTCCATATACTTTTTAGGGAAGTAAGCCCTAGTTTTGTTTAGTACTTGGGTTTGGTCAAACATAATTTTGTGACCAGTTTCCAAATGGTGTTCTGCTAATGCCGATTGTGAGTAATGTTTTAGACGTACTACCGACTGATGTTTTTTTAGTCTTGTACTTATCATTCTACCAGTTTCACCTATGTATACTTTACCGCATGAACAAGGTATTTTGTACACTCCTGGTGTGTCTTTTGTCTTTTGGATTGTTAAGAATCTGTCCTAGTTTATTCGGTGGTTTGTAGACCGTTTGTATGTTGTGTTTGTTTAGGATTCTGACAATCTTATCTGTGATACCATTTATGTATGGGAGGTAAGTGGTTCGTTTTTTAAAGTTTGTTGTGTGTTCTGGTGCTGGTGTATTTTGAGTGGTGGTAGAGGGTTTATTCTGATGTTTTTTAGATACTTTGTTTATTTGTTGCAGTGTGTAGCCATTTTGTCGTAGAGTGTTTTTTAATTCTTTGAGTTCGTTTTAAATGCTGTCTTTGTCGCATATAGTAAATGCTCTATAAATCAACGAGTTTATTACAGCTTATTTTTGGGCTGGGTGATGATGTGATGCCGCGTGTAAATATCGATTGGTGTGGGTNGGTTTTCTATAGATTTGGTGGCTAAATTCTCCCCCCTACGCTGAATTAGTATCATTATTATTATTATTTTCTTTTTTTCTTTTTATTTCTTTATATGTTACTATTTTCTTTTTTGTTTTATTTTATTTTGTTATGTATTTTATTGAATATGTTTTTCATATCTGCCTAAATGTACAAAAGTCTTACGCGCTTGAAAGGACTTGTCCCAGGGCGCTAAATAAACAACGCTTTTCTCTCTCTCTCTTTCTCTCTCTCTTTCTCTCTCTCTCTCTCTTTCTTTCTCTCTTTCTCTCCGATTCTTTGTGTAATTTTGAGAACAACAGCAATTGCAAATAAATCTAATTACTATTACTTCGCGCGGCCGTGTGTCAATCCGATTCAAAATAATTCGCAAATAATTACGGGAAGATACCGGCGTGCTGGAATGTGCTAGCGAGTGCGTACGATAAACGGTAGGCTGGAC